TTTTGATGCCAAATTGCATCGAATGATAATTTGATTACCACAGATTCAGTTTGACAACTCTGAAGTCTTTTTGAAGAATTAATTTCATTACAAGGACTTACTCATACAAATCATTTGTTTGTAAATTGAATTACAATAGTTTGTTTTTATGTTTAGCCAGCAAAAAGAAAAAAATATGTAGAAAAAATATGTGTCATGATGTAAATTATCTGATGAGTGGTCCTGAATTCAAGTGTTTTTTTCTTTCTTTCTTTTTTTCCCCCCCCAAAATATTATATACATAATTATTTATTCTAATACTGGAGATTGTGAGTCTTCATCAAAGTTTGATTTAATTAATACCCCCTGCACATAAGTCATTTGTTTGTGATATGAACTACTGTGTTTGTTTTTGGAACTTTTTTCACTCATAATTTAAAACCCAACATTACACAGTTCTCTGTTTATTTTGAAACCATGCTGCAGTTCAGTAAGTGAGTCAGGTGTTAATTCACTTACTACTTTGACAGATTCATCGATTCAATTAGACAAGTCTTCTCATTACAACAACCTGCTCATACAAATGACTGTGAATTCAAAGTGACTGAAGTTTGATTTACTTATGTTTTTTTTCTTTCTCTCAAACCTTAAAGGGGTAATCCAAAAATAAAAATGCTGTCATTGTTTACTCGCCCTCATGTCTTTCCAAACCCATATGACTTTCTTTTCCTCTGCAGGAATAAATAAATAAAAATAAAAATCATGAATGTTTCCATTAACTTCCATTGTATTTCAGTCCATACATTGGAAGTCAAACTGTAAACCAAACTGTATTCATTGCAATAACCTGCTCTTTAGAATTATTTGTTTGTGATTTGAATTATACTTGTACACTAGTTTGTACACATCTTGATCTGTATTATCTGATGAGTCAATTCAAAGTTCTATTCTGTTCTATTCTATTCTAACATCTGCTTTTTTGCTTATCATATAATGTAAAAGTCCTTCTAAAAGTCGAGCCCACTCTTTCACGTTTGAGGGATGGCAGTCTGGACAGTCTTTCCCGCAAGAGTTGAGAGATGATAACTAAAGGTTAAAGACAAATAGCATTAAGTGTTTCATTTTAACCGGCACATTTTGAAAGATTAACCGATTAGCTTGGAACTTTGCGGCACACAGCCTCATCCAGAACGCATAGATGAAGAGATTTAAAAGTCTGGAGTTGCTCCGAGAGATCAGATTACATTTAAGAGTTTTTCCAACCTCATTTAGCCTTTGAAACAACTGAGGCAATTAGTTTATAGAGTAACTGCTGTAAGTGTTCTGGCCATCTTCAGTAACAAAGATTTTACTGCGATTGTTATGTCGTCTGAGATAATGCAGTCAGAAATGTTATGTTCAGAATGAGAGCTGCTTCATGTCCATCATCGCATCTGTATGCAAGGCATGACTGAAGTTTCCAAAAAACGCACGTAGTTTCTGCTGCAGATGAATGTTATGAAATATAACCTCCTAATGAAGATAATTCAGCATTATTAGACTCACTCCAGGGAATGTGAGTGTTCGGATGAACCTGTACCTTGTGGCTTAACTTTCCAATTCGATTTTATGCTCTAATTTCTGGGTAGTTTGTTCCTCAGCCTACTTGCCAAATCCTCGGAGAGCTAAATTGATAGCATCCTTTGGCTTTGGGCCTTTAGGGCTGTGTCCGGGTTAGGATCCAGGCCTGCGAAGAGAGAGAAGGGGAGAGATAACCCAGCCATGCCCTCCAGGATTTATTGTGACTGGGGAGGGGAGGAGAGAGGAAGAGGGGCTGGTACGGCGGAGGGGAGCGGGACGAGCCCGGAGGGAGCGCAGATCGCCTCGCTGCTCAGCACTGAGCCTGTTTAGTATTCCTGTCACGTCAGCTGGAGGGAGCGGCATTAAATTGGGATCAGGCAGATTAGAGTCTAATATAGCCAGCTATTAAAGGCTGCAAATGAGAGTGGTGGGTTACAGCCGGAGCCTGGGCCCCTCACCCAGTCACACAGCCTCTCTCAGTCTCTCAAACAGGCTCCGTAAGGAAAAAAAACAATACATATACACAGAGGAAAGCACATAGGATAAGATAGGACAGGATAGGATAGGATAGGGCACTACTTTGGATACTATTTTGGCATAGTGCTTCTTGCAGTGTTAATTTCGTTGACGAAACATTTTCCTCATAATTTTCGTCAACCACATTTTTTTCACCGATGACAACAAGACGATAACAAACTAAAACTCTTTTTGAATGACAAAAACTATGACGTAAATATTGATATTTCCCTCACCGAATAAAATCGAGACGAAAATATTAGAGTGGGACGATTTGGGAAGAGATTCATTCAGAATGAATCTGCTGCGTGGTTTGGAGGTTAGATGCGTACATATGAACCGGCGGGACATAAGCTAATATACACTTGCTGCACATCGCATAAAACGTTCAAGAATGTCAATATGTGGGAATAAGAGAAGAGCAGACATATGGATAAATCTGACGACGCAAGAGAGAACTCAATTCGGTCCGCTTTTCTGAGCGCAGACACTGAAGCATACACACACAGAAAGCGCCTCTCACAGCGCGCGAGTACACTTTCGCGTTGCATGAAGAGAATTACACACAAAATTATGTTGAATTGTCCGTTTTGATGAGTATAAACTGAGTAAACACAGTTGATTACGTCTTGAGTGAATGTAAACAGCAGGGAGAACGTATATCAGTACATTGCATCCATTGCAGCTGTGTATTCGGTTTTAAAGGGACAGCAGCCTAATTTAGTTGCTATTGTCCGAGTCATTGATGTTAATCAAGCAACAAAAGAAAGAATCACGCACTGCTCTTGACTGAAAAACTTTAGTAGCTCTAAAGATTAATCTAAATTTATTTAATAGAAATAAATGTCTGCTTGAAAGAATGAAGAATATGATAAAGAAGTTGCTATAAAGAATGCATAATTAGCCTATATAACCATTTGTATTTCATTAAAAAGAAGACCATGTTCTTGTTCTTTATGAGAAGTGTTTTTATTTAATTTTTACATAAAGGCATGTTGTGTGTCACAGAAGTTAAATCGGTGTCTATCATGATAAAACCTTAATATCAAACCTATATAATGAGTTTGGACATTTTAAAGAAATGCTTAATAAATGCATTACACTGTAACTAAACCCATTCGATTTTAGCCTGACTAAATTTACTGTAGATTTAGTCGACTAAAACTAAAAACTATTCAGATGACTAAAATGTGACTAAAACTAAATGGCATTTTAGTCAAAAGACTATGACTAAAACTAAATCAAAATTTGCTGTCAAAATTAACACGGCATGCAACAACAAACACTGCACAAGCTAATATGTCCGATCTGGGAACAAATGACAGTTATGAACAGGATCTTTTTAATGAGTCAATTCACTCATTCTGTCTCTGTGAATTATACTGTGTCATTACTGAGTTTGCAACTGATTCCTCATTGAACAGATTCAAAATTAACCAGGAATTGTTATTTATGACTAAAGAAACATTTGCTCCCATTCAAAAGTTTGGGGAGTCAACATTTTTTTGTACTATTTTTCCATGTATTTTCACCAAGGGCACATTGAATTGATCAAAAGTGGCAGTAACAACTCTTACATTCTTAGAAAATATTTCAAATAATTGTTTTTAGTTTGAGCTTTCTATTCATTAAAGAATCTTGGAAAATATTATTGTGGAAACAATACATTTTAAGCACCACAGCTTTTAACTTTGATAATAAACACCAAATTATTATTTGGTGTATTAAACAGCATATTCAAATAAAATAATAGAATAAAAGGATCTTGTGACACTGTATACTGGAGTAATGGCCTTTAAAATCATTCAAATAAAACGGTATTACTGTTTGTACTGTTTGCTGTTAACATGACAAATGTCAACTTGCTAGAAGAAAACTTTAGACAGAGCTTATGCCTAAAATCAGATAAAGATGACAAAGATTTTATATTCAGCTGCTGGGTATTGTCATCTGTCCTGCGTGAAGCAAAGAAATTGGTTATTTTCTGGTTAACTTATTAAATACTGCTTATTGCATACTGCACAGTATATACTCTGAACTTCCTACACAATATGTGAAACATCATGGTCTACTAAAGGATATACTCTATCGTTTAAAAGTTTGGAGTTGGTAAGATTTTAAAAATGTTTTTGAAAGGAGTCTCTTATGCTCTTATGCATTTATTTGATCAAAAATACAGTAAAAAAAAATACAATTTAAAATAACTGTTTTGTATTTTAATATATTTTAATGTAATTTATTCTTATGATGGCAAAGCTAAATTTTCAGCATCATTACTACAGTCTTCAGTGTCACATGATCCTTCAGAAATCATTCTAATATGCTGATTTGATGCTCAAAAAACATTTCTTCTTATATCAATGTTGAAAAAGTTGTGCTTCTTAATATGTTTGTTGAAACTATTGTACTTTTATTTTTTCAGTTCTCTTTCATGAATAGAACGTTGAACAGAAAACCATATATCTGAAATAGAATTGTTTTGTATCAATTGTAAAAGTGTTTGATCACTTTTTAACAGTAATAGATGTTTCAAAAAGTAGCATAATACAGTGTTTTCACACAACCTGTTGATGTAGATGTGATGAATTGTGTCTATTGCATATAGAAATCTATTCATTTCTTTGCAATTAAATTGTTATTTTGAAGTTGGAATCCAAATTTGTGTAAAAATGATTCAACTATTCAAGTTTACTTCGATCAATTAATGAGTCAATAGGGGGTGTTAAACACCACTTGATTTTGCTTCTGGCTTTATTCCATTATTTTAAAATGAAAGGATGAGTCAAGCGCATGGCATTATGGGATACAGTTCACACAGTGTGTTCTAGTTGTACAGCTCTCATTTTTGCAAGTCATCTGGGACTTTGTTACATTCGCATACTGCGCACAGTATACTGTACATACTGCATACTATAAAAATAATAATAGCCATCTGTGTCCTGCAGGCATCCTCTTTTTCCTCTTCTGGCGTTGCTGTTTGAGAAGTGTGAACAAGCCACGCAGGGATCAGAATGCATCACCTCTGCCAGCTTTGACGTCGACATCGAGAACTTCGTCCACCAGCAAGAACAGGACCACAAGCCTTTCTTCAGCGAGGACCCTGAACTAGACAACCTGGTAAGCGCTCATTAGGTTTTGTATCACCTGCCGTTCTTCTAATTTCAGCTCTTAAAAACCTGTTTACTTCCTTTATATCGAAATCTCACATCTGCACTGCCCTCTGCTGGCATATTTGCACTTTATATGTCTTTTGAGGTACTTTAATTATTAAACAGCCTAGAAATATGACATTAAGTAACATTTTATTCCAAATAAAAAGTCAGTAGTATTAGTCACAATGACACTCGGCCACCTCTTGTCCATAGCTTTTTTTCCCCTCTATTGTTCTCGTTTCCTTTAACTCTCCACATATTCATCATCTCTCCTCTTCTGTGCCCTGCAAGACAGTTAACAGTAATTAGAAATTAAGGGAAGGAGGAGGAAAAAGGTCACTGTTCATCATTACCGGGGTGCTCGGCCAACTAGCGCTGCTCAGTCAATTAACTCTGCATCTGTGTGCTTTACGACACACTGGTCACACACGGGTCTTCCGTTCTCTAACTCTTCACCGCGACAGTTATAGTGCCCGCGCGGCACTTCCTTCTCGCCTCAGAGAGATGGCACTGAGCCCTGATTAAACGAGCTGCAGTAATTGGCAGATTTATCTCCTCCTTGGCAAAGCATTTTTTAGCCCATTTGGTCGTCCTTGAGTTCTGACTTTGGGCGGTGACTGTTTGAATGGGTAGCTGGAACAGAAAGTTCAGTCACATCCAACTGTATCAGCAGAACTCAAAAGTGTTTGTAGCATTAAACAACGCAACCAGGCAAATAGTGGCAGGGAAGGCTGGCTAGGTAACCTCAAATAATTGTTGGAAAGAAAGTGAGAAAAACACTTCTGCTTTTCTTCTGAGTAAAGTGATTGTAGTTTATTTAAAGGAATAATTCACTTACAAATGATTTTTTAAATTAATATTATTATTTACTCACACTAATGTAGTTTCAGATCCATATAATATTCTTTCTTCCATGATTTGAGTTATTTTCCAGGCTGTTTTTCCAATGTCCTGGCTGCTCTTTTCATACAATTAATGATAAAAAAGCATCATGAAAATATAATAAAAGGTGCACAATATATAGGTCTTCAAAATTCATATTATAGTTTAGTGTGAGGAACTGATGAAATAAATACATTTAAAGTGATGTCTTTAAAAACAATGACATTTATTTATTTATTTACAGTGCCTTGCGAAAGTATTCATTTTTTTCACGTTTGTTATGTTGCTGCCTTGTGTTAACCTGCTTTAAATTACTTTTTTCCATATCAATCTACACTCCATACACCATAATGGTAAAGCAAGAAACAGGTTTTTAACATCTTGGCAAATTTATTAAAAATAAAAAAACAAAAATTATTCAATTCCATAAGTATTCATAAATTTAGCTCATGAGCATTCGTATTGCTTGTAGATGCCCATGACCGCCTTGGCAACTACCTGAAAAAAAGTTGAAGTACTTAAATTGCTCAAACTAAAACGGTATATACGGATTAAAAAGACAAAAGCACATAAAAACTATAATATTTAACATAAAAACTAAAGAAAATATAAAAATAAAAGCTGATTCAAAATAGGCATAAATACTATAAAAATATGAATAATACAAAAAAAACACTGGTTTAGACCACTCTAATGCAAGAATTTTTCATAAACTGATTCCTGTATCTACTTTTGTGTTGATGTAGATGGTGAAGGCGATCCAGGTGTTGCGGATTCACCTGCTGGAGCTGGAGAAGGTGAACGAGCTCTGTAAAGACTTCTGCAACCGTTACATCACCTGCCTCAAGACCAAGATGCACAGTGACAATCTGCTACGGAACGACCTGGGCGGCCCGTATTCACCATCACAGACCAACCTCGGCCTGCAGCAGGTCACTCACAAATATAATCTCCCTAGACCTTCAGTCTAAAGGCTAAAGGTTGTTTCTAACTCATAAACACAGTGTCATATGAATGCACAAACTCTCACACCAGTAACATTTACACTTGCATGAACACAAGCTCCTCTCCCGGGGATGCAAAAGGTCACATCTGGCTTGCCCTCGCTGTGTTCCTGCTGAACTTTGCTGACCTCTGCGTGAGAAGACTTAAAGTACACACTTTTGGACATTTCATGTAGAACAGTCAATCGATTAAAATGCCCATTAAATGATCAGATTAATCTGAATTAATCACATATACTTTACTGTTCAAAAGTTTTAGGTCAATACGATTTTTTTTTGTTTTAGATTTTATTCAGTAAGGACGCTTTAAATTGATCAAAAGACAGTAATAGTAAAGATATTCATAATGTTACAAAAGATTTCTTTCAAATAAATTTTGTTCTTTTGAACATTCTATCCATCATAGAATCCTGAAAGAATGTATTGCAAAAATATAAAGCAGCACAAATGTTTTCATTATTAATAGTAATAAGAAATGTTTCTTAAGCATAAAATTAGAATAATTGAGAGATTTCCTTCTGAAACTACAAAATCTTACCAACCCCAAAATTGTTAATGGTAGTGAATTTGTCGCGAAGAAAAAAAAACAAGATTATTTAAACTATTATATTTAGTTTATTTATTATTTGTTGTGTATTGTTTTATTTATTGATCTCTTATTATTTATTTATTGATCTGTAAATATTATATATATATATATCATGTATAGATGTATAGGGTTAATTTTTGTTTTATTTATTGACCTCTAAATATGAAAAAAAAAAAATATATATATATATATATTATTGTTAATTGTTTTTATTTATTGTGAATTTTATTGTTTTTTTTATTGTTTTATTTTTTTTACAATTTATTATTTTTTATCATACTAAACACGTTAATTCACAACCCTAATTTTTACAACAGGCATAATTAATTGTGCTCATTTAATTTTTTTAACTATTAGTTGTTTTTTAATCACACTAAAATAACGTTAAATTGGCAGCCATAATGTCTGCCACAGTCATAATTAATTGTCCATTTTTATTTTTTTAAATAGTTTTTTAGCAAATAATAATTTTTTTTTATAATACTACACAAACATGTTAAATTGGCAGCCCTAATTTTGACCAAATTTCTTTTCCCAAGAAATTGAAATGTGGACACTAACCAAGCGTTTCGTCCTCCTCTTCAGGACCTGCTTCAGAACTCATCCCCATCCCTCACCTCTGTCTCCAGCACAGTAAACCCCTCTGGGATCGTGGTCCCTGCCGGTTTGCTGCAACAGAGCAACGTTGCCATGACCACTATCAACTCTCAGGTGGTCTCAGGTGAGGAGGCCAATCATCAGTCCCTTTCGCTTGCTATCAATTCAGAGATCTCAGCTTTCAGAGAAGCTTTTCTTTCCAAATTCGTGACATCTAATGGAAGCAAATGCGGACTTCCATGTACATTATCTACATTTATATAGCTCTTTCTTTACTAATTTTCTCTCTTTACACAGAACAATACTTTCACATTGTAAATAAAGAACGTCTAATTACTGTGAAATCAAGCTAATTAGCGTCAAAACAAGAACTCCTTGTTCTCCTCTTGAGCCACTCCGAATACCCTTTTGTTTTATTTTGGCGCAGTGAAAGGGAGGTGAAATGGTTTGTTTTTGTGCTGCAGGGTAATTAAGGTATGTTTTCAACAGGCAGGTAAAGTGTGTGATAATGGCGCTTCTGTGTCTGTGACTGATTCCCACAGGTGGGACGCTGTATCAGCCGGTGGCAATGGTTACCTCACAGGGGCAGGTGTTGACCCAGGGGTTACCACAGGGAACCATCCAAATCCAAAACAATCAGGTGAGGGTAACCACTCATGTTCGCAGGGCTGTATCTTCACAACTAATGAAACTCTAGAAATCTGTTGAATTATTTCTAAACTACAGCACCATGTCTACAACACTGAATCGCTGCTGTTGCAAAGAGGCAAAAGACGTTTTCTGACATGATGTCCATCCACTTTATATCTTCTATCTATATTAAATATAAAAATATATAGATTTTTAAAATATACATATTATATAAATAATATTTGTTGTGCATTTACATGGCTTCAGACACTTTTATATATGTTTTATATATTTTGATGCCTGCTAATGATGACTCTTTTTGAGGCCTATTAATTTAGAGCGGTATTGGCCTATTCATGAAACACAAGCAGAACTAATTTCTGTGTAAATAATTAGTAAATCCATTCATGCATTAATTGCCCCATTAAGTGAATGCAACATTCATGTAAGAATGGTTTTACATATTTATTTAAGATTATGATTTTTTCAAATGAATTTATATTAATTTAATTAATATATTTATTAATTTATTTATTCGCATATTGAGCTCTTGCAGATTAAGCATCTTTAACCTCAGAATGGTGTAAACCAAAAGAAAATATTGAATTCAGCATGCATCCAGTAAAATGCTTTTGCATTTTTGCTTGCCTTACTTTTTTTTCTCCATTCGTTTCATTAAAGCCCAAAATTGGGAAAATAAATAAATCATAAGAAAATTCAAAATTGTTATTATTAAAATATTTTTTAAAAAAATTATATAATGAACTGTTTTGTTCCTATGTCATTACCAGTTTTTTTAGAAAATCTTTTTATTTTAAATTTTTTTAATATACATAATTTCTATTACATTAATTAAATTAATTCATTATACTTTTATTATATTTTCTTTATTATTAAATAAAAGAAACAAGTTATTTTAAATTATATATATCTGAATTTATATATACAAGTACTATGAATTGCTTTTGTTCTGCTGTCATTACTAGCTTTTTTTTTTTTTTTAGAAACAATTTATATATGCGCATATATACTCTTTTGCTTTTGCTCCTCTTTTATTACTCGCTTTTTTATTGATGAAGTCAAAGTTTAAGCTGATTGGTATTCCACATTAATGCTTGCCGTGTAGTTTACATTTACATTTAGACATTTAGCAGATGCTTTTATCCAAAGCGACTAACAAATGAGGACAATGGAAGCAATCAAAATCAGCAAAAGAGCAATGATACGCAAGTGCTATAACAAGTCTCAGTTAGCTTAATGCAGTACACGTAGCAAGTTTTTTTTTAATCATATAATAAATAAAAAGAAAACATAGAATAGAAAAAGAATAGAGCAAGCTAGTGTTAGAGGCCTTTTTTGCTTTTGTTAATTGTATAATAAATAAAAAGAAAACAAAGATCGAATACAAAAAGATTAGAGAAGCAAGTGTTAGTTTTTTTTTTTTTTTAAGAAACCAAGCAGTTAGTAAATAAATAGAGTGCAAGTCTAAAAGGGGCACGTTTTTATTGTTTTTTTTTATATAAAGAATTGAATTAGAATAGAGAGTGCTAGAGTTAGAGGCTCAAATAAAGATGGAAGAGATGCGTTTTTAGCCGATTCTTGAAGATGGCTAAGGACTAATCTCTAGTTAAGATCATGATGTTTTTGCTCACTTCAAGTGTGTACAGGATGCAAGTTATTTAGGAATTCTAGAACTGTTAGTTTGTATTTTAACGCCTCAACTATGAGTCAGGTGAGTTGGGGTTTGATAGACAGCTGGAGCCTGTGTGGATAGCCAACTTTGGGCCGAGGCGCTTCACTACACGCAGGCTGGGAATAGAGTTCCGCCCTTAGCTACATCTCCGACAAGCTTTCAGTAATAATACCCCTGCATGAAGCCTCCAATTAATTCACCCTGCTTCCTGAATCACACACTTACACTGTGTGTGTGTGTGTGCGTGCGTGCATGCGTTCGTGCATGTGTGAGTGTGTGTGTGTGTGCGTGCGTGCATGCGTTCGTGCATGTGTGAGTGTGTGTGTGTGTGCGTGCGTGTGTGCATGTGTGTGTGTGTTGAGGAATGGGGAAAGAGCCACATGACACCCAGCTGCAAATGTAATGAGGAGGTTGTTTTTAGAGCTTGATTATTATTTATTTATTTAAAAAATTTAAAAATCAGTGGGGAGCTGCTGCTTTTTATGGCTTTCAGTGGCAATGGTAGCATGAAATTAATTATCCTTATTTTCAAAGTGGAAATGTTAATTTTTCCTTTTATTCATTTATTTATTCACACACGGAGCTCTTGCAGATTATGCATCTTAAACTTCTCTGAAATGTTAATATGCCAGTCTCAGAACGGCGTAAACCAAAAGAAAATAAATAGTTAATTTAGCATGCAACCGTTAAAACTCTTTTGCATTTCCGCTCGCCTTACATTAATCGTACTTCTGAGCGTATAATAAGTTTGATGAAAAGAGAAAAATTTACTGCATTTTCCGCAGCTTTTTTACTTGATGAAAGGCTTCAGTAAATGTACCCTCCTTGGCTTTAATTTGAGGTATCATTACTCCAATTGCGTTGCTATGGTGACTGAAGGCATTCCTGCCCCTGCCAAAGAAATGGTGACTGGCGACTCTCTTTGTTTCCGTGGCAACTACCCCTCCCTCTCCCCCGCTCACTTTCTCGTCTCTCTTCTCTCTTCCTTCCAAGGTGAACCTGGACTTGTCCTCACTCTTGGACGGCGATGACAAAAAATCAAAAAACAAAAGAGGCGTCCTTCCCAAACATGCCACAAACATTATGCGTTCCTGGCTCTTCCAGCATCTCATGGTGAGAAAAAGGAAGTGTTTTCTTCTTACATTATTGCCCTACAAACCAAAGAGAGGCTTGGGAGTTTAAAATGCACTTCATTTGAATGATATCTGGTTAGAACTGACATAGATAAATACAAACATGTACATTTACTTATAAAGACTAAAAATAAAGATATACCATTTACATAATACTCTATCATTTATTTTTTGGTTTCCAGCATCCTTATCCTACAGAAGACGAGAAAAGACAGATCGCAGCACAAACAAATCTGACCTTATTACAGGTGAACAACTGGTAAGAACGAAAGTGTAATTCACAGCAAAATGGTGCCATCTAATGGCCACAAACAAAATCACAAAACTTGTTTGGGATTTACACGTAGTAAATCCTGGTATGTGTCTTATCCGCGTCATTTTTCTCTCTCTCCTGTCTTTTGAAAGGTTTATCAATGCCCGCAGGCGTATACTGCAGCCCATGCTGGATGCCAGTAATCCTGACCCTGCTCCCAAAGCCAAGAAGATGAAATCTCAGCACAGACCCACGCAGCGCTTCTGGCCCGACTCCATTGTAGCTGGAGTCCTGCAGACACACGGATCCCACTCCACAAACAATTCAGACAGTATGTAATATGAACACGTTCTCTAGTCAAGTTTTTTGCGCTTTATGCAATACAGATTGTTTCACAGGGAAATAAACAGGATAATAACAGTACCAATAATGCAAACTTCATCAAATATGAGACAAATTCTGAATTCTGCTGTAAAGCAGCTCTAAAAAGCACAATAGTGCCATTATTCAACTCAAGTCGGTTGGTTCAGTTCAATAACTGCAAAGTTCATCTGTTCTGAAACGAGTTCAATTCAGCTATACAAAGTTCTACAGAAGACAATAGTGTCAGTTGAATTCAGTTCTTTAATGGCAGATAGTATGCTAAATATTAATTGTCAAATAATTAATTTAGAGGTTTTAAACCATCAATTACTCTTCTATCAGAGTTAAATATATAAAATTCACTTTATACATTTTCATGACTTTTCCCTGAGATTGTAATTATTTCTGTCACTTTTTCAGGCTTGAAATGGAATGGAAATGATAGTTTATGTAGTGAACACATTAAATATAATACATTATATTTATCATATATATAGATATACACTACCATTCAAAAGGATGAGTTAAAAAAAAAAAAAAAGAGTGCTTATTGTATTAGTGCTGAAGTGATTTAGTGCATTAAGGTGAAAATATTAAAGAAATCTTTTATTTATAATTTCATTCATAATGTTACAAGATTTCTATTTCAAATAAATGCTGTCTTTTGAAATACCTATTTACGAAAGAATCCAGAAAAATATGAAAAGCCAGTTTCCTGAAAAATATTAAAGCAGCACAACGATTTTCAACATTGCTAATAATAATAAATGTTCAGCATGTTAGAATGATTTCTGAAGGGTCATGTGACTGGAGTAATGGCCGCTGGAAAACCAGCTTTTAAATAACAAGACAAAATGACATTGTAATATATTTTAAAATAGAAAACAGTTATATTTTGCAGTATTACATTTTTACAGTTTTTGATTAAACAAAAACAGCCTTGGTGAGCAATAACATAAAGCATTTTACCAGTTTTATTTTAAATGGATGAGTGTTACTGACAGTTTACAATAATACCTGTTAGTTAAAAAGACGTGTTTGTGTTTCTGTGTGTATGTTTGTCAGATTCTCTTGGCATGGACGGCCTGCAGTCTCTGTCCTCAGACACCGCCACACTGGCGATGCAGCAAGCCATGCTGGGAGGAAATGAGGATTCCATGGACGGCACAGAGGAGGAGGAGGAGGACGACGAAGAGGAGGAAGAGGAGGGAATCGACGAGGAGGAAGACGAAGAAGAAGACGAAGAAATCGAGGGAGGCAGACAGATGGCTCGGAGAGATCTGGGCCTCAACCACAACGAAGGACTTGAATAAAGGATCAGATAGACGAAAATGTCAAAATTGACTTAACTCCTACTCATCCCCATGGCAACACATCTCAACACCTGAAGGTTTCCAGTGGACACTAAGTGCTGTGGAACATCCAATCAGAATGAAGAGGAGGGGCCTGTTATGGACTCGATGAATGAATAAAATTCATGTTAAAGTGAGAATTCGAAGGAGGACAGAAGAACATTGTACTGTATATTGGGCCGTTAGCCAAGCTCTCATGCATATAATCCATTTAAGCCTTACTTTGTTTAATATGTCTCTTTGGTTCTCAGGTGTCTTAGCATGACATAATGTCTACCCTCTTACAGTCATATTGATAACCATGCAATGAGTGGATGTTTTAGGCATGTTTCTTTCTTTCTTTTTTATTTTTATTTTTGTAGTTAATGAAATATTCAGTCTTCGAAGATTAAAAAAGAAATGCCTGACAGCACAATGTATGTACATTTAATAGTGATGCATTTTACCCACTTCATATTTATTTTCCAAACTGTCAAAAGGCAGTGGCACAATCAACAAGGATGCTGTCCGCTGAAAAAAACATCAGCCTGGTTCAAAACAAACGCATGTTGGGAGACTCGACGCAGAGTGCCAAGCATCTCTTACACGTACAGAACAAATCTCTCGTGCCCTTCTGAAACCGCAGGACCTACAAATGACGTTTACTGAAGAACACCGCAGGAAAAAAAGAGACCTATTTACAGGTGCGTATCACACCCTGAAACGCCCCTCTTAATTTTATGTGAAGGACGAAACAAAAACTGTGAAGATATTTCTGAGCTTTTCGGCTTACTGTGTCTACAGATTTAATCACCTGTTTCTGATGTGATGTTTAGAAAAGACAGGATGTTTCTGAATGTTATTGCAGTTGGTCTTTGTGAAGTACATGTTTCTCATTATTATCCTTTTCTTGGTTGTTTTTTTAAATGGTTCTTCCAGAGCAAGTGATGATAGGGGAGCTTTTTAATGATTTGTTTGTATACATTGTTGTCATAATCTATTGTGTTTCAGTAGCTCATTTTTGATAATTAAAAACTATGACTCTAGTGGACCTGGGTGTCATTTTGCAAACTAATATACAGTATAGCTACTACAAATGAATACATGTATACTTTTCGCTAAATGATCAAATGATCACCATTAAAAAATTAAAAACATTCTTCGTTGAAATTAAGATCAAATAAAATAGAGAAAACTAATATTAGATGACAAAAAATTTAAAAGGTGAAACACTAAACTAAAAATTAGATAAAAAATACAAATATATAAAATAGCTATAATAAAACCCAATAATTCAAGATATTAATAAAAAAAAACATGGCATATAAACAATGCAAAAATAACTGCTTTGTTGTGACAAAAGAGAAATATATATACTATAACTAGATCTAGATCTTATAGTGCATGAATATTGTCTTATGTTATTTATTTATTTATTTTTTATAACTTTTAGATTTAGTTGTCCAGAATCATAATATTCACAAGCATAGTTGTCCGTATTGGTTTAGGGGCAATACAACAATTGCAGTATAAATATCTATAGACCCAAGGCCTGGACCATTACTAAAACCACAATGTTACTCTGGTCATAATTTTTGTAACCTAAATAACTATAACCTCAAGCTCTAGCTGTGAATAAAAATATAACCTCATGATTTCCTGCAAGGATTTTTAAAAAACCTATTCAAGGCCACTGGCAACTGCCGAAGTCTCCACTATTTTTCCATCTGTGAATATTTTTAGATGTTATAAAACGCCTTCATATGAGCAGACAACTCGCTGGATATGGTGTCATGTGTAGGTGTTTCGTTCATGTGGCCAATTCTGGATGTTTACTTAGATCGCAAACTCCTCAGTCTGAATGTTCGCATAGGTTTCTTTAAAAGTTATGCCTAAAAGCTGCACAGTACGTTCAAATAAACATCTTCTGGGCATGAATGGGTTAAACAACAATCTAAGCAGCTCTAAACTTTGTGAAGGTCTGTATGCATTTGAAATAACAGTGTTTGTGGATTCTTGTACATGCACTCTTGAGCATGGCTTCTCAGGTAGGGCTGTTCAGGGCAGGAGGATATAAATAACCTGGGAAATGACAGAGGCAAGAAAAGCCACATAACTGGGTACATTTGAAGTGGATTGGTGCCACAGGGCTGATGAGCATGTTTGGGAATCTCCACCCTCTCCCTCTCTCTGCTTTTGCCCCAGCAGGCTGAAAAGTTCTCTCTAACTCTTTTAATTACCCTGTAAACCAGCCCAGTATAGCCTCTCATTTCGCTCAGACCTCCTCCAGTATTTAAGGTCCACGCCAGCATCCCTCTCCTCTCCAGCCTCAGGACCAGTTTACTGCTGGATTGATCCACAATACATTCCTCTACTGGACAAGGATTTCATAAGGTATTGTAATTTTTTTCCACACTTAATATAGGCCTATTAACCCTGCATCATTCTAAACCATAGATTAAAATGTAAAAGCTACATACTTTACAGCCTTAAGCATGGGGTTAGAAATTAATCCAGGATATTCCAGGTTTCACGCTGTACATTTGTAAACAACAGGTTAACGTTTTTATTCGTATGTTTTGCACTTTTTTATATATATATTTTCCGTGTCAGTAACATTGAATTGAATGATTACAGGACGCTACCTGTTTAACATTCGAATTCAATTATTAAATTCTTATTTGCATATTGATTTGACAAATACATCAACGCATGTGTCACTGTTGTTGGGTTTAAAGTGCCCCTATTATGGGTAATGAAAGGTTCATATTTTGGTTTTGGGAGTCCCCAACAACAGGGTGACATGCATGCAAGATCAAAAAACACTTTCATTGTCTTATAATATGTATTTATTTTTACCTTACTTGCTCAACGACTCCCAAACGATTCGCTCAATGACGATTCATTTTCCAAACCCCTCCTTTGCGTGACGCTAATCTGCAGTGATTGGTCTGATTGGATCATGCCTGTAATGCCTAATAAAGCAGCTTTTGTGAGGGCAGTGCTGCTTTGTGTTAGGGATGGGCGATACCACTTATTTTGTTTTCGATACGATACCGATATTTTAAGGCAGTATCGTCGATACCGATACGATACTTCTGAACTAAACTTTTAAATTATGAAATGTATTAAATTACTAAGAGTAAAATTGGTAATAATAACCACTTAACTTTGTTTAAAACACATTTTAACATTCAATACGCCTTAATTGTAATTTATTAGGTTATATTTTTGTTTACACATGGTTCAAATGTGTTTTTTGTTTACACATGATTCAAATCTACAAATACTATAATAAGGGACTGCCAGTGACAGGCTGCTGCATCCATAAAATGCAACCTTTTTGTTCTGACAGTGTATGATTTCTATTAACATTACAGAATAGAACATGATCTATATTATCTTTCTACGTTCAATTTAAATAAATGTAATTGTGCAAACTATGTAGGCTACGATTTCAGTTTGTTTGTTGTGAAATAACTCAAACATATGTTTTTTTCTGTCCACTGATAAGCATTGTTCAGTGCTGCTGTTCCCAAAAGCTTTAATGCTTTCTTATGATACTTTTGGGAAACGCAGCTGTTTGAATGCACTGTCAGCAGTGAGTGAACACTCTCTTTGATGGATTGGTTCTGTCTTGCAACATTTGCGTGTGTTCATATGAGCAGGAAAATATATGGATACTCAGGATCGATACACCCATCCCTACTTTGTGTACAGCCGTTACTGGGGAAACAGCTATTTTACCAAGCGGCACCTAGTGGCAATGAATTTGCATTTTTATTCAGACCAACTCGAAAAGACCAACAAGTGGGCGGGCAATATGCTAATGACATCAACATGAAACACTTGGGATTTTCTACGTTCAATTTAAATAAATGTAATTGTGCAAACTATGTAGGCTACGATTTCAGTTTGTTTGTTGTGAAATAACTCAAACATATGTTTTTTTCTGTCCACTGATAAGCATTGTTCAGTGCTGCTGTTCCCAAAAGCTTTAATGCTTTCTTATGATACTTTTGGGAAACGCAGCTGTTTGAATGCACTGTCAGCAGTGAGTGAACACTCTCTTTGATGGATTGGTTCTGTCTTGCAACATTTGCGTGTGTTCATATGAGCAGGAAAATATATGGATACTCAGGATCGATACACCCATCCCTACTTTGTGTACAGCCGTTACTGGGGAAACAGCTATTTTACCAAGCGGCACCTAGTGGCAATGAATTTGCATTTTTATTCAGACCAACTCGAAAAGACCAACAAGTGGGCGGGCAATATGCTAATGACATCAACATGAAACACTTGGGATTCGTTTTAAAAACGACTCGTTTCAATGATTCAGAGTTGACTCTTTTGAGTGACTTTTATACTTTTTATACAATAACTTTATACACGGTGCACTCTCAGATTTAAAATTCTGCAGGATGTTTCCATTCACTTAGAGCTGTTACACACTGCATGAAAGGTCATTTTCAAAAATACGTAATAGGGGCACTTTAAATTCCTTCCTTACTTTCTAATTTGTCCTGAATAGATTTTCGGACCACAATTGTAAGAACAAAACTCTTAGTCACTCTAATTACATTTACATTTACATTTAGACATTTAGCAGACGCTTTTATCCAAAGCGACTAACAAATGAGGACAATGGAAACAATCAAAATCAACAAAAGAGCAATGATATGCAAGTGCTATAACAAGTCTCAGTTAGCTTAATGCAGTACACCCACCCCCCCAACTGTACAAAGCTTATGAATATTTAATGAGGCAAAGGCTATTCTATTTTTGATTGGTTGTTTGATGCTACGGAGAATCGTTTCAGGGTAGGCCTATTCCATGGTTAAAAATCGGCGTTAAAACAATGTGAAACTTTTCTTAACCCGGGGTTAAAACGGGTTAAAAAGGCGATAATTCTGATTCGTACGCATTGTGTAAAAAGCACAATATTGTATTATATAATAATAAAACACTTGTGTTAAAATGGCAGTACATCAATGGTTTGGTTAATGCGAACTTGGATAGCTGCTAACGTATTTAATGGAAGACATAATTACTGTTTAATGGAATAATTTCATGGAAGGCATAATTTGGTACTTTATCTTGTAAGTAAGACTAATCATTCATTATATGTCTTCTTGTATCTCTTGCTATTAAACCATATCATCAAAGTGCTATTTAATAAGTTAAGTTGTCCCTTATACATTCATATTGATGTTAACGGACATATTTTATGTAAAATGTCCATATGAATGACAGCACAGATGATTAAACCAAGAAACTTTTAACCAGAAAAATATTTTTGGTCTTTTCTGTTGCCATCCACAGTTGCCAGCATGTCTATCGCCAACACGGCCGCCCAGGCGATGCTCTCTGATGCCCTGCTGAGGGACAGTAATGGGGACAATTGCATTCGACACCTGGAGCTGGATTTGCCATTGGATAAAGTCATCAAGTTCGTTTCTGTGGGCCTGCCGCTCCTTCTGGTGTCCATGGCCTTTGCCAGAGAGATTTCTATCGGTTAGCAGCTCTTTTCTTCTCCCTAGTGTCTGTGCGAGAATCACAGGACATCAGAGCAGCACTGGCACTGCAGTAATTTCATAAACCCTTGAGTTAATTGACTGACCGTTAGCTTGAGGGCTGGGCTGATGGAACGCTGGATGTAATTGGTGTTTATCTGAGGTGACAGCACTATCTGCACTGCTTAGGAAGGATAGCCGTGGTGCAATATGAGAATTAAGCATCTGCTAATGATTATTAGCAATTTATATGACATTGCAAACCAACTGGAGTTGCTGCTTTCAGGGGGGAAATCTTTAGTGACTGGTATGGGTGCCAACTGCTGGCTATAAATGCCACTAAATTGAGCTTTCCTGCCAACAGTGCATTGGAGAGAACTGTCGGTTTTGTGTAGGCAGTTGACTTTGAGGTTGCAATCAGTTCCTCTGGAGCTGGTCTGCAATCAGCTCACACAGATGTTAATTGGCATGAGGATGATTAAGAGAGCCGTGTAGAGATGACAAGGGTCTGTAATTACAGTCAGTCTGCTCTTTCCC